TGGATTCTATGTTGAAGTAAAGATATTTCATTACTCATTTCTAGTAATTGAGCCTCAAGAAAAATATTATTTTTATTCTTATTCTCAGTATCTTGTAATGCCTTTTTAATACGCTTCTTAAGATTCATGTTTTCTGATTTGAGAATATCAATTTTATTATTCCGATCTGTAATTTGCTTTTCGAGATATAAGATATATCCTCAGTCTAAGACAATTTATATTCCAATTTTCAAATTTGTGCTTCAAGAAAAGCCATTGAAATTTATTCTAGTTTATAATTTAATAAGTAATATCGAAGATGAGTAAATTGAGTAATCCTAGTATTGTTATAGATCCTTTATGTGGGATCTATTCGGATATTAGTATACTAATTATTTTTCCGGTATGGCTTAATACTCTTATATGTTAACGAAACAAAAGACAACTTAGTATACAATAATTAAAAGATTAGGCACGTAGTGCTATAATCATATCTTTAATTTTTTTAAAAATAAATATATTGAGAGTTAGAGGTCGGCTAAGTAAAAATATAGAGAAGCAGGATTTCATGGGAGGGAATATGCCGGCCTTTTAAAAATTTGGTATACAATGTTAATGGCAAAATTAACTGTAGATACTGCTAAAGAAATCGTACATAGTAGAGGAGGTATGTGTCTCTCTGAACAATACATTAATAATACAGTAATACTCTGATGCTTTGGAAATGCATTAAACCATGAATGGTCTGCTAATCTTCATAGTGTAAAAATCATAATACCTGGTGCCCAAAATGTGCTATTGGAAATCGTCATACTCGAACAATTGAAGATATGAGAAAGTATGCAGAGAAAAAAGGAGGTCTTTGCCTTGCAACTGAATATATTAATAGACAGGATCCTCTTGGGTGGCAATGTATGAAAAGACATAAATGGAAGGCTTCAGATAAAGATATTATCAAAGGAACTTGGTGTCAACAGTGCGATATCTTAATGTTAACATAGCGATTAGTATTGCACAAGAACGTGATGGTGAATGCCTTTCTACAGAATACATCAATATAAATACTCCAATGCATTGGAAATGTGTCAAAGGATATGAATGGACTGCACCTTTTGCTAGTGTAAGGAATAAGGGACGATGGTGTCCGCAATGTTCTGGCAATACTCCTTGTGGTCTTATGGAAGCTAAGGAGATTGCTAGCAATAGGGGAGGTATATGTCTTTCTTCAGAATATATAAATCTCTGTATCCCAATGCAATGGATGTGTAATAAAGGTTATAAATGGTTCGCTAATTTTAATAGTATTAAGCATGTTAAATCTTGGCACCCATATTGCTTAAATAAATACGAAAATCTATGTCGCAAAGTCATACAGTAACTAACATTCTTGGTCTACCTTCCAGCATCCATCGACCAGATTTCTTGAGAATACCTGAATATCCTCGAGGACTAGAACTCGATATATACTATTCACAGTACTGGTTTGCTATAGAAGTACAAGGTAAACAGCATGAGCAACATATAAAGTTTTTTCACAAAGATCCGGAAGAATTTCAAAAGCAGTTGACATATGATCAGATCAAAAAAGAACTCTGCGAAAAAAACTGGATTGTTTTAAGATATGTCTGGTATTATAAAGACCCATATATAGTTATTCCAGAGTATCTTCGAGAATTGGGTCTTATTGAGTAAATTATAATTTTAAATGTTTATTTATTTCGCAAACATTGTCATTTCTGGGTAATTGATTTCGCATTAAAAAAGCATTCTTTACCACTAAAACATATCAAATTAAGAAGTGGATCCATCTCAAATCTTACCGTAATACCTTTAATAGGAGTTTCATTTTTTATGTATAGTAAAAATAAGAAATTGCAAAGCAAATTTCATTACAGGTCTCGAATTTACATCTTTCGGATTCAAGCACATCCTATCAAAAACTGGGTGAGATTGGGTTCATCTTGAGGATCTAAAAACTTGATTGATTTTCTCAGTTCATGTGCATAAGCTAGTTGGTCAGTACATCGTTATCAACAAGGGCATATTCCACTTGATTGCCGGGATCTTTTTCCCAGACTACAATTTTGGCTTGAACCCATTTTGACCAATTATCATTATTACCAATAGATATTTCAAATATCCGAGATGCACAGAATTGTCTTGCAGGCTCCCCGTAACCCCCAGCTCTTGCTCCAGCCTGTTCTCCCAAGCGTTCTCTTAATATAAAATGTTAAGATTGTTTGTGGCGCACCTGATCAACCATGCACATATACTTCTTGTTGTTATTTTGGATGTCATAAAAATCGTACTCAAGTAGAGCAATCAAACCTTTCCGGGGTCTTTTGACATAAACTCTGAACTTTATTTAAACAAATCACTAAATTAACTTGAAAAACTACATGAATATATCTTTTATTACAAGTACTAATTTCATAAGATAAAATTTTTCAAAACCTATGATCAAATACATATTCAAACCTTGTAGTCGTTGCCATTTTCAGCACGCTGAACAATTACCATCTTTGCTGGTGGATTACGTGGCAGACATTTCTGATTAACCGGGATTTGGACAGCACCGGGCATGGTTTCGAGAATGCAGTTCAATTTATCATCATCATACTTTTGTCCATACTCTATTACTCTCTGTTTATGTACCGTCACCCACTCGTTTTCATGTTCAGAAAATTCGCCACTGTCGAGTGCGTTGTAGAAAAATAAGAGGTTAAATCCAACCTCATCATCGAATTCGAAATCAACATCAGCGATGTTCTCGAAGGCACTTCTTCTGAGGTATTCTGGCATTGAGGAAGGCCACCTGAAGTTCGTGCCCACGCGAGCTACAAATAGGTTAAGGAAACACATCAAAACACTACTATATTGTATTACCATTACCACTATGATATTAATGTATATAAAGAAAATTACGAACTGTACCGAGAAATCTTTGTGCTTGACCAGACCTTTTCTCATACGTGAAGAGGGTTTGAAGTGTTTCAGGCGGATTGTCTTGAGCTGTTTGGAAGGTATCCATTACTTTAGATAAAATAAAAAGTCTAACGACGACGTTAATCGATATTAGTATATTAGTATAAATGGTGTTTTCACAGAATACTTTTTCTATTCATTCATTGAAAATCATACCCAACAAACGGGATCAAAATAGGCGAGAGCACAGTAATAACACTAATTATAATAAGAAAAGTTAGAAAACACAAAAACATCACCTATTCGAACATCCATAGCTTTATTTTGATTTCTTACGTAATCACTAGTCTTCATTCATTCATAAATCATCATTACATCATTTTTTCCTCATTACTCACACATACAAAAAATGTAAACAGGTCCCGATCCTCGTGATAATAACCCTCCCATGACTTCGTCTCAGTCAGTTCTACAACACCAAAAAAAAAAAAGAAAAATGAAGTCGTTTAAAATCCTATTCCTAAGCGTTATCCTTGTTTTTTTCGCAATATCTCTAAATCCTGTTCACGGTCAGACAACCACGACCACGACTAATCAAAATTGATAAATGCACGTCAATCATATATGCACTTGTCACAAATTTTTTATTGGATATTTTTGCATGAATTGTTAGGCTTTTCACGAAGCTTTAATATATTTTGGTTACAGCAATAACATAAGATTATTTAGGTTACATCATTAAGTCATCCGAAACTAACAACTCAAAAAAATCTT